AATCAATGGAAGGGTAACTGATGTGATACAGCAATCTGTATACGGGGTAAAATTGGGAGTTCATAACCCACTTGAATCAAACTGTGAAATATGATGTATTAAGAACTATGTAATGTTTTGAACGACCAACAATAAAAAAATATATAATTATAAAAAAAAATAAAATAAAATAATAAGACCTATGTCAAACAGAATTGTGAGATATAAGGATAATGCAAATGCAATAAAATGAATGTTTACGCCACCCTCCAATTCCTATGTTGATAATGTGTTGGTATTTGGGAGTGAAGTCTTTGGTAGGTAGTTTGGTCACAGAGATAAATTCTTCATTAATGGGATTGGGGCCTTTATTAAAGAAACCCCAGAAACCTCATTTGCCCTTTCTGCCATGTGAGGACATGGAAAAAAGACTCCATTTATGAGTCAGGAAGCAGGCTATCACCAAACACTAACTCCAACAATGCCTGGATCTTGAACTTACCAGGCTCCAGAACTGTGAGAAATAAACTTCTGTAGTTTGTAAGCCATCCAACTTAAAGTATTTTTATTATAGCCGTCCAAATAGACTAAGGCAGCATATTAAATCTAATCTCAGTGCTAGGCATATGGTTATTACCATTCAATACAGATTAATTACCATTATTTTAAATTCAGCTTTGTTTGAGAAAACTACACATAGGTTTCCCTCCATAAGTACAGTTTTCCTACATTAAGGTATTGTAAAGAATGCTTTAAAAGCTCTATAAAACCTTATGAGTTTAAGCTTCCAGAGAGATACTCAAATTGTTCAGAGTGGTCTTTTTGCCTGCAAAAACATGCTCACATTCACAAGGGCCATAGATTACAGCTAATGAAATGAACTTAAATAAAATTAGGTGTTTGACTCAACCTTAGTGTTACCTAGCTAAAATATCATCCTTTAAATTTTAACTACTTCACATTGGCCATGATAGCGTCTGCAATTGAAAATATAAGTTTCTAGTTGTGCAAGTTAGAAATTCTGTGAATTGCACAATTAAAATCTCATTCCATACCCTCTTTTAAATTTTTTTTTTCCTGGTTCTAGGGATTGAATTCAGGGGCACTCAACCACTGAGTCACATCTCCAGCCCTATTTGTGTATTTTATTTAGAGACAAAATTTCACTGAGTTGCTCAGCGCTTTGCTATTGCTGAGGTTGACTTTGAACTAGCGATCTTCCTATCTCAGCTCCCAAGCCACTGGGATTATAAAGTGTGTGCCACCGTGCCATTCCCTCTTCAAAGGCAAGGATTTGGATTCTGGAGACACTTAGCTTAAATGGGGCCAGAAAAATAATATGTAAATATAGAAGTATTCTATGTACCTCATGGATCTGTTATATGACTTCTGAATTATTACAGGTAGGAAAATCAACATAGTTCTTTTTTGGGATTTTGTAAATTTGTAAATAACTGCTTTTCACTGTACTTGAAATCTAACAGTCCATGCAATTTATTAGAAGAAAAATTTTATAATCTTTTCAAATTTCTCTCTCCTTTTCCTATTCTTGATCCTTACGCATTTTGTAATTCAATTCCAACAGGCTGATTTTTTTTTCTTTTTTAAGGTAGAAAGGAGAAAATAAAGATGAAATAAAAATAAGATGTCAGATATGAAAGGAGAAAATGAAACCATGTGCCAAAATAGGGAAACTAAAAACAACATGAAATAAACTCAGAAAAGATCAAATAACTTTTTTAAATATGTAAAAATAACTACTACTTATATTGTTTGGTTTATTTATACAAAAGGAAAAACATTTGGTGAAAAATGAACTTACAAATGTACTAATATATGCTATATTAATTCCCAGGTAAGTTTAAGTGAAACTGGGAGAAAAACAAATCTTTTGAACAAACATTAAGGACCAAAATAAAGCCTGATAATATTAACTTATAAAACAGTCAGCTTTATCCACTGTTTGGCATTTGTAAGACAAACATTTAAACTTAAAAAGAAATCCTTTCAAGCCATCTAAAGTTCTTAGTAGAAACATAACATGATAGAAGAATTATGGTTACCATTTAAATTTGAAGAACTTCATCCATTCTGGTGATTTTAGCAGCTAGTATTACATTCCTTCAAAATTTCAAAGTGCTTGTGATCTTTCCAAGATGATTGTCCTTTCTTTCTTGCCTCTCATTACTTAACTTATATTCTTACTGCAAGAGAAAAGAAGTTTTATTTATATACACACATACACACACACATATACATATATATACATATAAAAGACATATAAGTAAGCAAGACTCAAATACATGCTGCACCCAAATATAAGAATTGTACACTAAAAATAAGGAAATAGGTTAATAGAGGATATCAAACTGAAATATTAAGAAAGTTGGAAAAGYTGCATTTATATTAGGTAAGGTAGAAGACAAAGCAAAGAATATTATCAGACAGAATAAAAGACATGTGGTAATGACTAGGAGATTAATTCATTCTGAAGATGGAACAATTCTAAATATGTATGGATACAACATCATATGTACAAAAAACATGAAGCAAAAACTGATAGAAATGATGGGAGAAACAGACACAATTACAGTTGGAGATATTGACATTGTTCTCTCAGTACTTGAAAGAACAGATATACCAAAAGTGCAGATAAATAAGATCTGAGCTGTTGAATTGAGATTTATAGAGCACTCCGATCCACAGTGGCAAAATATAAATTTTTTCAATGCCCATGAAACATTGTTCAAGACAAACAATCTACTGAATCAGTAATGAGTATTTACAAATTAATAGAACTGGAACTATATACAGTGATTCTTCTTTCACAATGGAATTAGATATTGAAAAGTTCCCGATTAAGAAATCAAGCAATATACTTCTAAAATAATGTACAGATAAAGAATATTTTAAAAAGCAACATACCAAATTTGTAAGATGATGTTAAAAAGGTGCTTTGAGAACATTTAGAGTTTCTATTTTTATTAGGGAATAAAGCGCCTAAAAGCAATTATCTAAGCTTCTAGCATACAAAGCTGGGAGAGGGGAGTAAATTAAGCCAAAACAAGAGAAAGTAACAAAATAACAAAAAAGAGAAATCAATAAAATAGACACTGAAAAATAGAGAAAAATCAATGAAAGCAAGAACTGGGTTTTGAAAAAAACATTAATAAAACTGATAAATTTCTAGCTAGACTGAATAAGGGAAGATAGAAATCAACAACACACKGGATAAAGGAGAGACAGGAAATAGTAGTGATGCTAGCAATCCAGATATATACCACAGAGTAGCTGCAAACTGCTTTCCTCAAATGAAAAGGGAATAAGTCTCAATTTCATAAAGAAAAGGGGGAAAAAGTCATTTACTGAGGTTGCTACAATCTACAATAAGAATAAAATATGATATATACTCAAGTTTAGTACTTTCCTCAGTTTTAGGCATCCACTAGGGGTCCTGGAAAGTATCTCTGTGGATTGGGTTGGAGAGGGGGCATTACTATAAAGAGAGAGGTAGCTTGCCAGTGAGATGCAACAGGCCTGTAATAACAGTTACTTGGGAGGCTAAGGCAAGAGGATTATAAGTTTGAAGCTAGCCTCAAGAACTTTGTGAGACCCTATCTCAAAATAAAAGACAAAAAGGTCTAGGAACATAACTCAGTAGTAGAGCATCCCTGGTTTTAATTCCCAGCGGCATATGAGATAATATTACAGTGCTGAATAATTCTGTAACATAATTACAGGATTGGTTACATGGATCTAATATAATAAAATACCAAAGAACTATATACTCTCTTTACATCAATATCAGTTTCCTGGTTTTGATATTGTTCTAAAGCTACATAAACCGTAAACAATAAAAGAAATTGAGTGAATGGATTTCCTTGAAGTATGCTTGCTACTTCCCGTGAATTTATAATTATCTTAAAATAAAAAGTTTAAGAAGTGAACTTTGTGAATTCTTTAGGAACATTCTATCAGGTCTCTATGCTATCTGTAAGTTTTTTCATTTTCTCTAAAAAGAATTTTAATGTTTTTATCCATAATAGCTAAAATCTGTAAACAAGAAGTCAAACTTAATAGACTACATATTATGATTCCAACTGTATGACATTCTGGAGAAGGCAAAAATATGGAAACAGTAAAAAAGACCAGCGGATTACCAGAAATTGAAGAGAGAAGGAAAGAATAGGCAGAACCAGGATTTTTAGGACAGTGAACATATTCTATATGATACTCTAATGATACATACATATACCATTATGCATTTGTCCAAACCCACCAGGACTAAATCCTAATGTAAACTATGGACTTTGGGAGATTGTAATGTCTCGATGTAGCTTTATCAATTGTAACAAATATACCACTCTGGTGGGGGATGTTAATAATGGGGGAAGCTATATACTTGTAAGGACAGGGATATCTCTGTACCTTTCCCTTAATTTTGTTGTGCTCTTTAAAAAAAAAATCTTTAAAACAAACTAGCAACAACCAAATGTTCATTAACCAGTAAATAATAAAACTGTGATACAATGAAATGCTACTCACCAATTAAAATAATGGATCAATGCTACACAAAACCTTAATGAATCTCAAAAATGTTCACTTGAGAGAAGTTACACTCTATACTCAAAAGAGTACATACTAAATACTTCTACTTATGCAATATTCTGGAGTAGGTAAAATCTTAGTGATGGCATACAGATCAGTAGTTATCTAGTGGTGAGGTTTAGGAAGAAGTTTTTAACCAAAAAAGGAAAAGCCTGAAGGAGTTTTCTGGGTCAATGGGACTATTTGTCTCTTGTTTGGGGTGGTAGTTACATGAATCTGTGCATGCATTAGTTCAAAGAACTACTACTACTACTACTACTACTACTACTACTACTACTACTACTTTGGTACTGTATTGCTTTGGTACTAGGGATTGAACCCAGAGGTAAGCCATATCCCCCAGCCCTTTTTATTTTTTATCTGAGACAGGGTCTTTAGTAAGTTGCTGAGTCTGCCCTTCAACTTGCAATCTTCCTCCCTCAGCCTTTGGAGTCACTGGGATTAGAGGCATGGTCACCAAACTTGGCTAACAAACTTATTTTTAAAGAGTCAACTTTACTATCTGTAAATTTAAAATATTAATTGCAATAATAAAAATCATTTATCACAATTCTTTAAGTTTTAACTTCAATTATTTCAAATAAAAGTGAAGAATTTTAGTCTTACTTTTGTCACTGTCTATATGATGCCAAATAAGTAAATTAACTTTTTTTATTTTTTTAGAGAGAGATAATTTTAATAGTTATTTATTTTTTAGTTTTTGGCGGACATAACATCTTTGTTTGTATGTGGTGCTGAGGATCCAACCCGGGCCGCACGCATGCCAGGCAAACTCGCTACCGCTTGAGCCACATCCCCAGCCCCCAAAATTCCAATGAAATTCCAATTCCAGTAAATTAACTTTTCATCCTTGATTTCTCTTTGTGAAATGAAAGGGGATTATCAAATGATTTCTAAAGGCTCTTCTTATTCTAAAATCTATTTATCTTCCACATGTCTGTTGAATTTTTATCTCAAAAATAAACAATACATTTCTATGCACTCAAGTGGGTTTTATAAACTTGGCTGCAGGCAGTAAGACTGGCTTCCAATATTCTCTCTCACTGGTTTTATGTCATTTTTTTAAGGGCCCTGAACAGCTGACCTTACTAACTTTGAATAGATGATATTTGGAAAGCAGTCTCTCCTCTTTGAAATAATCAAAGCTCACACTGTAGAGAGTGTATGGTTTTTTTCTACTCCCTTTATAATATCAGATTTTCTCTATAGTTTGCTATTTAAAAAAAAAAAAGTCTGTGAAACAGCATTCCTGCTAGCAAAATGATGCAGGTGATTATTAATTTTATAAGACATCAGATATTTACATTACTGGAGATGAGAAAGTAAGTCATTTTTACTAAATTCACTCAATACAATCAAATCGGACAACCTAAAGTCTGTAATTCTTTTGCAATCTTTCACTATTCCTATAGAAAATTTGCAGTTTAACAACATTTTGAACTATCAAATCTTACATGAAAATGTTCTGGTTATATGTAAAAACAAGCAATGCTAGTAAGACTGTTCACACAATTTTAAGAACAAATTCATTACATTTTCCAAAAAAAAAAAAAAAAAGAAATTAATTGCCTTTGTATTTTGTTGTTGTTTGTTTTTATTTTTTTGGAGATAGGTTTAAGGATTGAAGCAAATAATTATTTCAATAATATTCTCAATGTCATCCAGCAGGATAACACTTCTCACTTCAAAATATAAGAAAAATAAAGGTGACATACACACACATATATGTAAACATGTGCTAACAAAATATTTAATATTTTGAAAATTTATACTTGTTTGACACTATTTTCTTTGACAGATTTAATAAATGGGTCAAATACTAATGTACTTATCTTAAAAATGTAAGCCACAGATCCTATAATTTTCCTTTAATGTCACATTTCTATTTTTGAAAATATGAATCAACTTATTTTATTCTTTCAAATATAATACCAAGATACAGAATGCAGTCCTGAGCAACATTAAATCATTTCATTGTTAAGTAGTGGTACATTTGAAAGAGGAAAACTAATCAAGATTTCCCTATAACTCCATCTCCATGTTAAACTTTAACCTTTTCAGGAAGGAAGCTGTAAAAAAATAAATTTATTTCATTTCCTGAGTGTTTAGATCATACAAAAACATGCACACACCATTATACRCAGAAGTCAACATTCCATATTTTCTTTATTCCCAACCTGAGATTTATTGAACCTAACATCAAAAAGGATCTCATAGCTCCTCAAACGTCTATACATCTTACTAGGCATTGAAATCACTTTTAGAAGGTACGCTAGCACAGAAACCATATTACATACAGAGAAATAAACCCATAACAATACTAAATCAGTCAATCTCCAGGTAAAGCCCTGTTTAATGCTAGCAGGTTTGCCAATGATTTGAAAACAGAAGTTAAATATTTCAGCAATTTCTTTATAGAAATGAGTAAAGAAATTAAAAGACTTTATGTGTTAAAATCATACCTTCTGAATCACAGGGTTCACACATGGCACACATGTACCAAGGGAATGTTTTAATATTAATGAGACATCAGCCTACAAACCTGGCAAGCTTGCAGCTGACTCTAATGAAGAATTCTTTAATACCCAAGCCAAAC